AAAACATGCAACTTGGAAAGAATTCCAGGGACCCAGACTGACTATTTTAATTATTTTCTTCTTTTTACCGCTCGCTTTCTAGAAATAGAATTCGGCCTTATTTACTGTTTACACCTGCGCTCGGAAATTTGAACCTAGCGTCTGTAACATTTCTATAAGCTAATGAGCAGCACCTGTGATTCTGTCTTCTTTTTTTTTTCTCCTCTGTGCGCGTCTTCCGTTCATGCTCACTCAAGTGCTTTCTAGTCCCATAGCTGCCCCTCTGTGCTATGACGATGCGGCGACTCATCCGATGCGCAGACGGCTTATTTATTTTTTTTTAAACTTCAAGCTTTCTCATTTTTGGGGGGATAAACCATGACCTCGAAGGTTACCCTCCCCCCTCCCAGTGGAGAATATGTTTTAACTGGTTTTATTTCATGCCCCCCCCCCTCTCCCGCAACCCTCCGTGCTGCACCACTGACAGGCATTTTTATTATTTTTTTAAATGCTCGCATGACGTAAGCAGCAACATTTTTGAAAGGAGAAAAAAAGAAATTTAACTTATTGTCTGTGATCATCCTTTTTGGAATAACATTCCCTGTTGGCCTCATTCAGTGTTTAGTTTTTTGCTTTGGTCTTACTTGTCTTGGCACACTGACCAATGTCAGATTTTTATTTTTTTTAATACTCCATAAGCATGTTGAAATGAAGCGGACGCCACATCGAGGTGAGCGGTCAGGACAAACCGGAACACGGATCCAAACACTTTTGACGTGTTGCTGTTCCGGGTCCTCGTTACAAACAATTTTACACAAATGACACTTTAGCCTGATGCATTCCACTCGTTTTTATTTTTCGTTTGTTTTGTTTTTCTAACCTAAAAGGCGTTTGAGTAATAAGTGCGACGCATTTTGCTTTTAAGGATAAAATGTGGATCTAATCTGGATGCTGCACTCAAAAGAATGTTCTGCTCGTCAGAGTTTCCTCTTGAGCCGAGTGCAGCGGTATGTTAAGGCTACATTTCTGTCTATGGAGGCAAAAATGTAATTACAAACAGCAACACGGCTGTTTTTTCACCGCCAGGTTTTCCTAATTGAAAGTGCAGATTTGATGTCCAGGGAGATGAATCCTCACAGCTCTTTGGTGCATTTGTGTCCTTTTTTTTTAAGTTTATTTTTTATGTTTCTCTCTTCTGAGCCGCAACGCACGGCCTACCTTCTGTAAACGGTTCCGCCGTGACCCGTGGCAACCCATCAGCTGCTCTGGGCCCTCAGAACTGTACTTGGGTTGAAGAAAAACCTCTGGGAGGAGTTTGTAAAGCCATGTTTGTTGTTGACCCTGATGTTGGAAACACTGCTGCAAAGATTAAATCACCTCATCTGAATCCAGTCCTGCAACGGCTCTGTTTATTTACCAGGAGAACACACAAACTGATTGAAGGGGGGGGGACAAAAAAAAAAAAAAAAAACTCATGACAAACAAAGCCTTTGAGCGATAACTCACTGGCCTGCAGTGTATACTGCCACGCATTCCACTTTGGCCAGTGGCTCTCCGTGGGCCTTCAGACTGCGTGTTATGGGGTTA